ACAACTTGAGTGCTAGAGAGCGTAAAGTCGCATCAAAAGCCGCATTACGTGAACAGAACCGTCATACTTTCCTATTGGCCCAAACAAAAAAACGCAAAATGCATCAAAAATGCAAAAAAAAAGACGCACTAGAAAAACGCATCAGCCGTAATCGCCTTTGATGGACACACACCAAAACTGCAAATGTTGCTTTTTTGATGCATTTTCTGTTTTTTTTTTTTGTAGTAATAGGAAAGTATGTCAGTTCTGTTCATGTTGTGCGACTTTTGATGCAACTTGAGTGCCAGAGAGCGTAAAGTCGCATCAAAAGAAGCCGCATTACGTGAACAGAACCATCATACTTTCCTATTAGCTCAAACAAAAAACGCAAATTGCATCAAAAATGCAAAAAAAAAAAAAAAAAAAAAAAAAAGCAAAAGCACTAGAAAAACGCATCAGCCATAACCTGCATAGATGTGATAGACTTCGATAGACCCACACCAAAAACGCAAGTGTTGCGTTTTTGATGCATTTTTTTTTTACTACTAGGAAAGTATGTCAGTTCTGTTCATGTCGTGCGACTTTGATGCAACTTGAGTGCCAGAGAGCGTAAAGTCGCATCAAAAGTTGCATTACGTGAACAAAACCATCAAAAATTAAAAAAAAAAAAGCGCACTAGAAAAACGCATCAGCCGTAACCTGCATAGATGTGATAGACTTTAATGGACCCCCCCTAGCACCAAAAACGCAAGTGTTGCATTTTTGATGCATTTTGTTTTTTTACTATTAGGAAAGTCTGTCAGTTCTGTTAAAGTCGTGCGACTTTGATGCAACTTGAATGCCAGAGAGCGTAAAGTCGCATCAAAAGTCACATTACGTGAACAGAACTGTCATACTTTCCTATTAGCCCAAACAAAAAAAAACGCAAAATGCATCAAAAATGCAAAAAAAAAAAAAGACGCACTAGAAAAACGCATCAGCCATAAACCTGCTTAGATGTGATGATACACTTCGATGGACCTGCACCAAAAACGCAAGTGTTGCTTTTTTGATGCATTTTCCATTTTTTTTTTTTTTTTTTTGTACTAATAGGAAAGTATGTCAGTTCTGTTCATGTCGTGCGGCTTTGATGCAACTTGAGTGCCAGAGAGCGTAAAGTCGCATCAAAAGTTGCATTACGTGAACAGAACCATCAAAAAAAAAAAAGCGCACTAGAAAAACGCATCAGTCGTAACCTGCACAGATGTGATAGACTTTGATGGACCCACACCAAAAACGCAAGTGTTGCGCTTTTGTTTTTTTACTACTAGGAAAGTATGTCAGTTCTGTTCATGTAGTGCGACTTTGATACAACTTGAGTGCCAGAGAGCGTAAAGTCGCATCAAAAGTCGCATTTCGTGAACAGAACTATAAAAAAAAAAAAAAAAAAAAACACTAGAAAAACGCATCGCATAGATGAGATCCTAGCCTCAAAAAGAAAAAAAAGGCTTTGTTTCTTTAAAAAGATAGATAGGTGTAAAAGGGCCCTTAAAGACGGGGCCCGTCGTGACCCCCTACCACGGCGCCCTTGCACACCTGCGTGTTTTCACACCAATGTTTTTATGAGGGAATAGCGTGATGACGTCACTGCTGGGGGTCACAAGGCGGCCGGGGTCACCCCGCAGGTGGCGGGCTCTCATCGGCCCTGACACACTTCCCTCCCAGCTGTAGATACAAAAATCGTCCTTTTAAAAGTCGCTGAGTGGAGCCTTCTCCGGCCTACCAGCAGCCATGAAGCCTTTGTTCAGAGTAAAAACAGGAAGCAGATGTAGGCGCGGGGTGTCGCTTGTCAGCCATGTCTGAGACAAAACAGGAAACATCAATATGTCCGCCAGGCCTCACGGGTCAGGCTCGGGCCTAGCCCAGCGGCAGCCATTGTTGTGGAAAAGAGGGAGATGGGGCCTCGTAAATCACTTGGAAGGAGATCTTCTCTGGGAGGCGTTAGAGACAAACATTTGTGTCCACGCAGATCCAGAACGCAGAGACGGCCTGGGGGGGCACCATTTTGTCCTGTCAGCTACAGACACGTGCGTTTTATTCAGGCCGCCATCACAGCGACCTGTACGCCCCGGTCACATCAAGCCCCACTTTGAAATCAAAACGACTTACAGTTGCAAGACGTCATACGATTTATGCAAAGACGGGGACATTTACTACAGGTGCTGGTTTGCAAGACCGCACGGACACGGATGGACTATGAAATCGCCCAAAAGTAGCGCATGTGCTGTACTTTTTGAAACATGGTTTAGAACCGGGGGGGTTACCGATCGGGTCACCGCTGCAATTGTGGGACAATAGGGTGTGACTTTTAGGCATGCCCCACGTTATTGTTTCGTGAATGTGCCAAAATCGCAATTTTTTGCAGGGCAGGTATGGTCCGCCCGTGTCATTTCAATTTCGAGCTTTGAACAGGTTTCCAGCGATTGTTGCGTTTTTGTGCAAAAAACATGCATTGTTTTGCTGCATGCAACAATTTATTTATTTATTTCAGGTACTTATATTGCGGCGTCAATTCATGTAGCGCTTTACACATATATTCCACATTCACATCCCCCTCAGGGGGTACAATCTAAGGTCCCTAACTTACATTCATATCATCCCGCCCCCGAGGGGCGTACAATCTAAGGTCCCTAACTTACATTCACATCAGTCCCTGCCCCCAAGGGGCATACAATCTAATGTCCCTAACTTACATTCACATCATCCCCGCCCCCCAAGGGGTTGAGTACAATCTAAGGTCCCTAACTTACATTCACACAGTCCCCGCCCCCGAGGGGCGTACAACTAAGGTCCCTAACTACTTCATTCACATCATTCCCCCGCCCCCAAGGGTGTACAATCTAAGGTCTCTAACTTACATTCACATCAGTCCCCGCCCCCAGGGGGTACAAGCTAAGGTCCCTAACTTACATTCACATCAGTCCCTGCCCCCAAGGGGTGTACAATCTAAGGTCCCTAACTTACATTCACATCATTCCCCTTCCCCGCCCCGAGGGGTGTACAATCTAAGGTCTCTAACTTACATTCACATCAGATCCCCGCCCCCAAGGGGTACAATCTAAAGTCCCAAACTTGCATTCACATCAGTCCCTTGTTCCCCCCAAAGGGGGGGTGTACAATCTAATGTCCCTAACTTACATTCACATCAGTCCCCCCCCCCGAGGGGCGTACAATCTAAGGTCCCTAACTTACATTCACATCAGTCCCCCCCAGCCCCCAAGGGGGTACAATCTAAGGTCCTAACTTACATTCACATCAGTCCCCCGCCCCGAGGGGTACAATCTAAGGTCCCTAACTTACATTCACATCAGTCCCCGCCCCCAAGGGGTGTACAATCTAAGGTCCCTAACTTACATTCACATCAGTCCCCGCCCCCCGAGGGCGCAATACAATCTAAGTCCCTAATTTACATTCACATCAGTCCCCCGCCCCCAAGGGTGTACAATCTAAGGTCCCTAACTTACATTCACATTCAGTCTCCGCCCCCCCTACACTAAGTCCCGAAGGGGCGTACAATCTAAGGTCCCTAACTTACATTCACATCAGTCCCCGCCCCCGAGGGGCATACAATCTAAGGTCCCTAACTTACATTCACACATACTAGGGCCAATGTTTAGACAGGAGCCAATTAACCTCCCAGCATGTCTTTGGAGTGTGGGAGGAAACTGGAGTACCCGGGGAAACCCACACAGGGAGAACATGCAAACTCCAGGCAGGTGGTGCCGTGGTTGGGTTTTGAACCAACGACCCGAGTACTGCCAGGCAGAAATGCTAACCGCTTGTGCTTGAACGGCTCTACAAGTGCCACACAGGCGCTCCCTATCGCTCCCATCTCACACCTTGATACAGATAATATTGCGCACGCCCGATCTCCGAGTCGTCTCTCAGGCAGGCGGCGTGCAGTCAGGGCCGCACTGGATCCAGATAGGAGAGCGGTACTTTTCTGTAAGCGTAGACGCGGCGCCCTTTACAGCACAACATCGCGATCCCTCTGGTGTTGTATCGAGTGATATATCAAAACTTCTCCATCGATGGTTTTCTGCCGTGTTAGACGAGAGCGGCCAGATCTGGAAGAAGAACAACGTCTAATTACCGGGAAAAATCCGGTATACATCTCCCTCCGCAGCCGCTTCCCTCTCTTCTCTCCCCTTTGTGTCTTTATTACCTTCCCTCCATATCATCCTCTGCACCTTTCTCGCCTTCTCTCCGTCTCTCTATTACCTTCCCTCTCTCCTCCCTCCAGAATGATCTTTCCTTTTCATTCTCCCCCTCCTCTCTTTTTCCTCTTCATCCCCCTCTTCTTCTCCTCCATTCCCTCTCTCTGTTCCCTTTCCTTCGCCTCCTCTCTCTCTCTCCTTCCTCCCAACTCTCCTTCCCTTCACTCCCTCTTTCCTTCTTCTCCCTCTCCTTCCACCTTCCCCCCATTTTCTCCCTTCCTCTTCCTTCACTCCCTCTCTCTTTCCTTTCCTCACTCCTCTTCCTTCTTCTTTTTTCCTTTTGTAAACTTCCCCCTCCTCTCTTCTCTCTTCTCCTTTACCTCCCCCCTTTCCTTTTTCCTCTTCTCTCTCTTTACTTCCTCTTCTTCTGTAACTCCCCCTTTTCCTCTTCTCCTTTCCTTTCCTTTTCTCTCTTTGTCTTTTCTTCTCCTTTACCTCCCCCTATTTCTTCTTTTCTCTTCTCCTTTTCCTTTTCCTCTCCTTCTCTTTTCTTTTCCTTTCTTCTCTTCTTCTCCTTTAACCTCCCTTTTCATTTCTCTTTTCTTCTCTTCTTTTCTCTTCTCCTGTACTTCTCCCCCTTTTCCTCTTCCTTCTCCTTTCTTTTTTCCATCTTCTTTTTCCCCCTTTTTACCTTCCCCTTTCCTCTTCTCTTCTCTCTTCTCCTTTTCCTCCTCTCAGACTTTTCCTCTTCCATTCTCTTTTCCTTTTCCTCTCCTTCTCTTCTCTTCTCTTTCCTTTCCTTTTTTTTCTTTTCTTCTCTTTTTTTCTCCCCCCTTTCCTCTTCCTTCTCTTTTCCTCTTCCTCTTTTTCTCTTTCTCTTCTCCTTTACCTCCCCCTATTTTTCCTCTTCCATCTCTTTTCCTTTTCCTCTCCTTCTCTTGTTTTCCTCCCCCCATTTACTCTTCCCCATTTTTCCTCTTTTTCTCTTTTTCTCTTTCTCTTCTCCTTTTCCTCCCCCTTTTTTCTTCCTTTTCTTTTTCCTTTCCTCTCCTCTCCTCTTCCCTTCTCCCTTCTTCACTCACTCATTCTCCCCCTTCTCTCCTCTTATCCCCATTCTCTTTTTCTTTTTTTTCTTTTTCTCTTCTTCTCTCTCTCCCCCCAAATCTTCACCCTCCTCTTCTTCCTTTTTTTCCCCTTCCCATCCCTTCTTCTTCCTTCCTTTCCTTTTCCTCTCCTTCACCCCCCTCTTTTCCCTTTTCTTCTTCCTTCACTCCCCCCCCCCCCCTTCCTCTCCTTAACTTCTTCTCTATCCTTCCTTCTGTCTATTTAATTTCCCTTCTCATTCTCTCCCCCTCCCCTCCCCTCCTTTGTCTGTTCTTCTCCCTCTCTCTGTCTCTTCACTTTCCAAATTCTGTCTTTCCCTTCTTCCTCCCCCCTTTTGCGCTGCCTCTTTCTCTTCCTCTCCTTCCCCTTCTAGTTTCTGTTCCCTCCCTCTCTCTTCCTCTGTCTCTGTCTGTATTCTCTTTCATTCTCTCTTCTTCTTTCTCTTTCCTCCCACTTTCTGTCTTTCCCTTCTCCCTTCCCTTTCCCTTTTCTTCTTCTCTCCCTCTTCTTCCTCTCCCTGTCTTTCTCTTCCATTCACCTCTCTCTCTTCTTTTTCTTTTTTTTCTCTCTCATTTCCCTCTCTCCCTCCGCTCTCTTTCCTTCTTTTTTCTTCTCTCTTCCCCTCCTCCCTCCCCCCTCTTTTTTTTTTCAATCTTTTCAATTTTCACCTCTTTCCTCCTCTCTCCTCCATTTTTTTTTCTCTTCCCCCTTCCTCTGCTCTCTTTCTCTCCATTCAATTCTCCTCCTCTTGTCTCCCTCCATTTTTTTTCTATCCCTTCCTCTCCTTCTTCCTTCTTTCTTTTTTCACTCCATTCACCTCTCTCTTCCCCCCATCTCTCTCCCCCCTCTTGTTTCTCTTTTTTTTCCTATCTTTTTTCCCTTCTCTCCATTTTCTTTTCCTTCTTTCTTTTTTCTTCTTCTCTCTTTCTTTCTTTCTCTTTTTTTTCCTTTCCCCTTCTTCTTCATTCTACTTTCCCCCTCTCTCTTCCATCCCTCTCTTTCCCTCCTGGTCTTTTTCTTTCCCTTCCTCCTCCATTCCACCTTCTCTCTCCTTCTATTTTCTTCCTTTCTTCCTTTTTCTTTTCCCTTTCTTTCTTTTTCTCTTTTCATCCATCTCTCTCCTCCTCTTCCTACATTTCTCTTTTCTCCTCTCCTTCTCCCTTCTTCCTTTTCTTCTCCATTCACCTCTCTCTTCCTTCCTCCATTTCTCTCTCCCCCCTCCATGGTCTCTCTCCTTCTCCTTTTCCTGTTTTCCTTATTCCTTCTCTTCACCTCTCTCCTCCTCTCTCCTTGTCTCTCTCCCTTCTCTTCTTCTTTCCCTTCTTCCCTGTCCTTTCTCCTTCTTCCTCTCTCCTTTCTCTCTCTCCTCTCTCCCCACCTCCATTTCTCTCCTTCCTTCTCACTCTCTTCTTTCTTCTTCCCCCCCCCCCCCTTCCTTTCTTTTCCTCTTTCTTGTTTTCCTTGTTTTCTCCATTCACCTTCTCCATTCTCTCTCCCCTTCTCTTCCTTCTCCCCCTGTCTTCCTCATTCTCTCCTTCACCTTTTTCCTTCTCCTTCCTCTCTCTCTTCTCTCCCCCCCTTTTCTCTCCTCTCCTTCTCCTTTTCCTTGTTCTTTCTATTTTTTTTAGCTTTCCTCCTCTCCTCCTTCCTCTCCCTCCCCTCCTCTTCTTTCCTTTTCTTCCTCATTCTCTCCTTTCACCTTCTCTCCTCCTTCTCCTTCTCTCCCCCCCCTCCATGTCTCTCTCCTCCCTTCTCCTCCTTGTTCTTTTCGTCTCTCTCCTCCTCTCTCCTCTCTCTCTTCCCCTTTTCCTCCATTCTCCTTTTTTTTCCTGTTCTTCCTTCTCCTTCCCCTCATTTTCTTATTCACCTCTCTCTTTTTTCCTCTCTTTTTCTTCCTCGTCCTTCTTCCCTCTTCTTCCCTCTCCTTGTTTTCTTCATCTCACTTTCTTCTCCCCCCTCTCTCCTCTCTCTTTCCTTTTCTCCCTTTCTTTCCTCTCTCTCTTTCCTTCTCTTCTTGTCCTCCTTGTTCCTTCTTCTCATCTTTCCTCATTCTTTTTCCTCCATTTCTTTCCCCCCATGTTTCCATTCTCCCTGTTTTTTTCTTTCCTTCTCCTTGTTCTCCTTGTTCTCCTCTTTTCTCTTCCTCCTCTTCCTTTCCCCCTCTTCTCCCCCTCCATTCTCTCTCCTCTCCTTCCTCCTGGTCTTCCTCGTTCTCTCCCATTCTTTCTCTACCCTTCCACTTCCATGTCTTCTCTTTCTTGCTCTCCTTTCTTCTTCTTCCTCCTTTTCCTCCCTCCATTCATTTTCTCTCCATTCTCTCCTCCTCTCTCCATCTCTCTCTCCCCCTCCATTCTTTCTCCACTCCTTCTCCTGGTCTTCCTTTCCTCATTCTCTCTTTTTCCATTTTCTCTCCTCTCCTTCTTCCCTCCCCCATGTTTCTCCTCCTCTCCTTCTCCTTTCCTCCTTCTTCCTGGTCTTCATTCGCTTCTCTCCTCTCTCTCTCCATTCTATAAAGTGCCAGGGATTGAGTCTGATGAAACTTTCAAAGTGAAAATCAGAGACATGCGGAATGAGCTTTTGGTCGGGCGCTGCGTCTGACCTCGTCTATGGGGAGGGATCTGGGCGATCTGACATCATCAGTAAAAAAAAAAAAGACGAAATGATATCCATTGCAAGGACTTTAGTGACATTTTTGGCTGATTCTTACCTGAACTGTCTAGTAGATACTGATGTAGGCCATGTCAGTGATCTTTTATGGTGGGAGGGTCCAACTTCTCTACGATACCCAACACAAAACCTGGAAGCCCTATTGCAGGGATCACCTTCCTTCTACATCAGTATTTGATCCGTGAAACATTCAAACACAATGTAACACTGGATTTTCTCTATGACAACCAGGGCGGACCGACCTGACCATTTAGCCACTCGGGCACTGCCCGAGGGCCCGGGGTCAGTAGGAGGCCCCATGAGGTGCTCCTGGTACCTTTCATAGGCTTTTTTGGGTGTGGTTTGAGTGTGGGTGAGGACACAAGGGCCCCATGATTTCCTATTGCCCGGGGCCCCATGAGTTGTCAGTCCGCCCTTGATGACAACTATAATGTATCAAATTAAAACGTCTTTTTCAGCTACTGTCAGGCCCCAGATTGATCTTCTCCACCAGATGGGATGATGCCATTAGCCTGCTGTAGGGATGGGCCAAACACCCCCTTGTTCAGTTCGCGGTTCAAACATTCGAGCGAAAGTTTTGACCGCAAACTTCGAACTCAATGCAAGTCTATGGGACTCGAACTTGAAAATTCAAAAGTGCCCATTTTGAAGGCTTCTATGCACGTTATTGGCCATCAAGGGGGTATGGGACTCGGGGACTGCCCTGAGGGACATGAATCAGTGAAATAATTTTTTTTAAAAAGTACCGTTTTTAAAGGGCTAGTCATTTTTCATTGCTTAAAGTAAAAAAAATAAAAAAAATAAAAACAAATTCCTTTAACCACTTCCAGCCCGGACACTTATCCCCCCCCTTGCTGTCCGGACACTTACACCCCCAGTCCAGTCCGGACACTTTCACCCCCTTCCAGTCCGGACACTTTCCCCCCCTTCCAGTCCGGACACTTTCACCCCCCCCCTTCCAGTCCACACTTTCCCCCCCCTTCCAGTCCGGACACTCTTTCACCCCCTTCCTGTCCCGACACTTTCCCCCCTTCCTGTCTGGACACTTCCCCCCCTTCCAGTCCCGGACACTTTCACCCCCCAGTCCGGACACTTTCCCCCCCTTCCTGTCCGGACAGTATTTCACCCCCTTCCAGTCTGGACACTTTCCCCCCCTTCCAGTCCGGACACTTTCACCCCCCCTTCCAGTCTGGACACTTTCCCCCCCCCCCTCCTGTCCCGGACACTTTCACCCCCTTCCAGTCCGGACACTTTCACCCCCTTCCAGTCCGGACACGCTTTCCCCCCCTTCCAGTCCGGACGCTTTCACCCCCTTCCAGTCCGGACGCTTCCCCCCCCCTTCCAGTCCGGACGCTTTTCCAGTCCGGGCCGCTTTCCCCCCCCCCTTCCAGTCCGGACGCTTTCACCCCCTTCCAGTCCGCGGACCCTTTCACCCCCCTTCCAGTCCGGACACTTTCACCCCCTTCCAGTCCGGACACTTTCCCCCCCTTCCCAGTCCCGGACACTTTCCCCCCCTTCCTGTCCGGACACTTTCACCCCCTTCCAGTCCGGACCACTTTCCCCCCCTTCCTGTCCGGACACTTTTCACCCCCTTCCTGTCCAGACACTTTCCCCCCCTTCCTGTCCAGACACTTTCCCCCATTCCAGTCTGGACACTTTCCCCCCTTCCATTCTGGACACTTTCCCCCCCTTCCAGTCCGGACACTTTCCCCCCTTCCAGTCCCACTTTCCCCCCCTTTCCTGTCCGGACACTTCCCCCCCCTTCCAGTCCAGACACTTTCCCCCCCTTCCAGTCCCAGACACTTTCACCCCCTTCCCCCCCTCAGTCCGGACACTTTCCCCCCCTTCAATGACAATTGCGCGGTCATGCAACACTGTACCCATATGAATTTTTTAGCATTTTTTGATAAAACTTTATTTTGGTGGTATTTATTCACCATTGGGATTTTTATTTTTTTTTGCTATATAAAATGAAAAAGTCCAAAAATTTTGAAAAAAAAAGTGTTTTTCTTATAAAACTTTGCAAATAAATAATCTTTCTTCATAAATCTTGGCCAAAATTTATTCAGTTATCTTTTTAGTAAAAAAAAACAACCCCAAATTACTTTATAACCAAATATATTATATTTTTTAAAAAATTTTTTTTACACTTTTATTTTTTTTTTAATATTATTATTTATGTTTTTTTTTTTTTTTTACATACCATTACCCTAGCAGTACAGTGTCACCATAGTGACACTGTACTACTTGTGGGGGGTGATGAAGATTTTTTTTTTTTTTTTTACACTGATTGCTTTTACACCCATAAAGGCTGTAAAAGCAATCATTTCTCCTTCTCTCTGGCTGCATTTCTGCGGCCACTGAGAACTACTGTGAGAGCTGTGATTGGTCACAGCTTGTCACATGGTACAAGGCTGTTGTACCATGTGATCTCTGTGATCATTCACAGATTTCACTAGTAGTAAGCAATGATGTCAGAAGTGACATCTTGCTTACTACTATTCATGTTATCACTGATTGGCCAGTCAGTGATCACATGATTGGGACCTCACACAGAGGTCCAGCGATCGGTGTTCCCGTGCAGCGGGCACAGGATCGCAGTGCCGCGCACTCCCAGGGAGCGCGCACAGGCTAAAATGAACGGCAACCTGCCCTTGCGCTGCTCCCGTCCGGCCGTTTATATACATGGGCCGAATGGGAAGTGGTTAAATATCATGCCTGGAGGCAGGGGCGGACTGACAACTCATGGGGCCCCTGGGGAGTTGGGGATCATGGGGCCCCTGTGTCCTTGCCAAAACTCAAAACATCCTGTGAAAAAGGTACCAGGGGCATCTCATGGGGCCCCTTACTGACCCCGGGCCCTCGGGCAGTGCCCGAGTTTCCAAATGGTCAGTCCGCCCCTGCCTGGAGGATCCCCTGCAACTACCTGCAAAGTTGCACATCTGTACAATTTATAGAACCTGCTGCAGTACGACTGACTGTTTTTTTAAAATTAAATTTTTTATAAAAAAACAAAAAAACAAAAAACAGTGTGGGGTCCCCCCCAATCCATATCAGACCCTTTAGGTCTGGTATGACAGTTAGGAGGGACCCCAAAGTAAAAAATTAAAAGCAACAAAAAAATTGAATGGAGTTTCCCCAAAAGCCGTACCAGGCTTTTTAGGCCTGGTAGGACTTTTAAGGGGAACCCCACCCCTAAAAAATGGTGGTAAAAAAGTGTGAGGTCCCCCCTAAATTGCTACCAGATCCTTGATCCAAGCACAGGCCTGGCAGGGCAGGAAAGGGGGGAGCACGAACAAGCACCCCCCCCTCCTGAACTGTACGAAGCCACATGCCATGAACATGCGGGAGGTGTTTTGGGATAGGGTCACCCCCCCCAAATCACCTTATCCCCATGTTGATGGGGACAAGGGCCTCTTCCCCACAACCCTGAGCTGTGGTTGTGGGGGTGTGCATGCGGGGGGTGAATTATTGGAACCTGGAAGCCCCCTTTACCAAGGGGTCCCCTATATCTCGCCCCCCCTTTTGAATGAGTATGGGGTACATAGTAGTACCCCTACCTATTCACCAAAAAAGTGTAAAATGTGAATAAAAACAGAACAGTCCTTTATTAAAAAAAAACAAACAAACTCACATCTGCCGACCCATCTGCACCCACCAAGCATTTGCCGGTCAGATGGAAACAATTGGGCGGAGCTAACTGTGACTTTACCACTAGCTCTGCCCACTTGTGCTGTGATTGGCCAAAGCATTGCACCTGACCGCAGGTCAGGTGCAATGCTTTGGCCAATCACAATGCATTGTGGGGTGCCGAACCGCCAAACACACAAACGGCCGATGTTTGACTCGAACATCAAGGACATCACTAGTCTGCTGCAGGCAGGAGGGAGCATTTCCTCAGCCCCCCCCCCCAGTGATTACGAAGCCCACGTTCACATCCTATGATGTGGAATCACGGGTAGAATCGCTGAAATTCTGCCCACGATTCCCTATCACAGCAAAACGCGCAATGCGCATTTGGGTGACGTTATTCTTAATGACACCCCAAATTCGATGCGATTCTGACGCAATTGTCATGTGACAGAATCACGTAGCAACCGCGGCAAAATGCGCAATAAAAATTGCACTAAGCTTGCTTACAAAAAGGGAGCAGGAGCTTCTTTTGGGCAACAAACTGGGCTATCCTTTGCGCGACACACAAAAATTGCGTGAAAATCGCACAATAAAAATCACGAGTGGGAACGCTTATTCCTGCTATGCGATTTGTGAATGGGGTCTGATATAGGTCCACTTAAAAGAAAAAATGCTTTTTCGAAAATGAAACGTGGATCAATTTTTTTGCGTGCGGCCATGTGCAGCCACCCGCAGTTCGTCTATGGGACAATCGAACGCCTGTGACTCACGGCGCGGGCGCAGTGCCCTGCCGGAGCCGGTGAGAATATGTTCTCTGGCGTCTCTCATTCGGGATGACAGAGCAGTCTGTTCCCAGCAGAAGACATACTGTTCCCGCAGCGCGCAGCAGCTGGTGCCGGCCGTTGGGCCATCCTCCAATCTCAAAGAAGAGCTTCGTGCTGCATTTTGATGGAGGAAGATGTGTGCGGCAGGGGGCCCCCCCTCCGTCAGCTGTTCCCGCCGCTCGCCCCCCACATTCGTTCGCAATTAGCAGGTGAAGAAACTCTATAGCCTTCCCTCTTATCTCTGCGCCAGCCCGGGATTTGTCCACCTTTATCCGGGGAAAGGCAAACGGCGACTTTGGAACAACAATCGCCAAACGGACGCATGGGAAAAAAAAAAAGTTGCAGTGAGGGTTAAAGTAGAACTCTGCCCATAAGGAAGGTAATTTTGCTTCTGCCAGTGTCCCTCAAGCTGGACCCTGGAGAGTGACACCGTTTTCTAAGCCACACTGTAATGGAACCGACCCCAGACTGCGCTTGGGTACTTCCGATAGACTACCGCTTCCCCCGTCCGAACACCGACAACAGACACCACCGCTGACCATACAAGAATAGACACCAATCTGTCTGAACATGGGACTCTTTATTTGCAACTCGAATTGGCTTTTTATACACTCAGGGAGCAAATATCCCCTCCCTGCATAATGACACAGGGCGGGGCAATCTACACTTGGTAACAAGAGACACTCAGGTATTCAAACTTCACATCAGCAGACAGTCCCATCAGGAGGGAGGGCTGCTGGAGACACCCCCCACTAAGCTAATACAGATAAACACATACATCCCATAATAGTTTTGCTCCCAAGCCAGACACACAATAGAACAATGGGATGCAGCCACATGGCATTAAACAATCCACAACCCCCCACCCCCCATATTAGGACAGATCACCCTGTACCCCTAACAGGCACAGGGTGACTTACACATAAGAGGGATATGGGAAGCTGAGACAGGAGTCTCCCCACCTCTCCAAAGTGCGCTGGGTTCCATGGGTCCCCCACCCAAAGTGACTCCCATCACGATACTCCCTCTCCTTTTCTACTCTCTCTCACCCCTTCTTCTCCCCTCCTACTCCTTCTTCTACCTTCCTCTCCCCTCCCTTCTCCCCTCCTACTCCCCTCCCTTTCCCTCCCCCTTTACTCTTCTCCCTTGCCCTTTCCTACCCTCTCTCATACCCCCCCACCCTACTCCTCTCTTTTCCCCACCCCTCCTTCTCCCCTCCTACTCCTCTCCCTTCCCCTCTCCTCCTTCTTCCCTCCTACTCCTCTCCCTTCCTCTCTCCTCCTTCTTCCCTCCTACCCTCTCCCTTCCCTTAACTCCTCCCTTCATGTTCCCTCCCTTTCCCTCACCTCTCTTCTCCCCTCCTACTCCTCTCCCTTCCCCACCCCTCCTTCTTCTCTTTACTCCTCTCCCTTCCCTTCTCTTCTCCCCTCCTATGCCTCTCAATTCCCTTCTCCCCTCTACTCTCCTACTGCCCTGCCACCTGACCTCCTCTCCCCTCCCCCCCCCTACTCCTCTCTACTCCCTTCTCCCCTCCTACTCCTCTCCCTTCCCCATCTCTCCTCCCCCTCCTATGTCTCTCATCTTTTTCCCCTCTACTCTCCTACTCCCCTCCCACCCAACTCCTCTCTCTTCCCCACCCCTCTCCCCCTACTCCTCTCCCTTCCCCATCTCTCCTTCTCCCCCCCATCTTATGTCCCTCTCATCTCCCTTCCCCTCTACTCTCCTACTCCCCTCCCACCCGACTCCTCCCAACCCCTCCTCTCCTATTCCC